CCCTTGACCCCAAAATCAATAGGGGTCATCTACTGATCATGACCAATCACCATACCAAGTTTGAAGTTCCTAGGCCTTAAGGTTCTTTAGGTATTGATCGGAAACCGTTTTTACCTACAAGGTCAATGTGACCTTGACCTTTGACCCCTTGACCCCAAAATCAATAGGGGTCATCTACTGGTCATGACTAATCACCATACCAAGTTTGAAGTTCCTAGGCCTTAAGGTTCTTTAGTTATTGATCGGAAACTGTTTTTGCTTTCAAGGTCAATGTGACCTTGACCTTTGACCCCTTGACTCCAAAATCAATAGGGGTCATCTACTGGTCATGACCAATCACCATACCAAGTTTGAAGTTCCTAGGCCTTAAGGTTCTTTAGTTATTGATCGGAAACCGTTTTTGCTTTCAAGGTCAATGTGACCTTGACCTTTGACCCCTTGACCCCAAAATCAATAGGGGTCATCTACTGATCATGACCAATCACCATCTCAAGTTTGAAGTCCCTAGGCCTAAGGGTTCTTTCATTATTGATCGGAAACCATTTTTACCTACAAGGTCAATGTGACCTTGACCTTTGACCCCTTAACGCCAAAATCAATAGGGGTCATCTGATTGGTCATAACCAATCACCATACCAAGTTTGAAGTTCCTAGGCCTAAGGGTTCTTTTGTTATTGATCAGAAACCGTTTTTAATTAAAAGGTCAATGTGACCTTGACCTTTGACCCCTTGACCCCAAAATCTATACGGGTCATCTACTGATCATGACCAATCACCATACCAAGTTTGAAGTTCCTAGGCCTTAAGGTTCTTTAGTTATTGATCGGAAACCGTTTTTACCTACAAGGTCAATGTGACCTTGACCTTTGACCCCTTGACCCCAAAATCAATAGGGGTCATCTACTGATCATGACCAATCACCATACCAAGTTTGACGTTCCTAGGCCTTAAGGTTCTTTAGTTATTGATCGGAAACCGTTTTTGCTTTAAGGTCAATGTGACCTTGACCTTTGACCCCTTGACCCCAAAATCAATAGGGGTCATCTACTGGTCATGACTAATCACCATACCAAGTTTGAAGTTCCTAGGCCTTAAGGTTCTTTAGTTATTGATCGGAAACTGTTTTTGCTTTCAAGGTCAATGTGACCTTGACCTTTGACCCCTTGACTCCAAAATCAATAGGGGTCATCTACTGGTCATGACCAATCACCATACCAAGTTTGAAGTTCCTAGGCCTTAAGGTTCTTTAGTTATTGATCGGAAACCGTTTTTGCTTTCAAGGTCAATGTGACCTTGACCTTTGACCCCTTGACCCCAAAATCAATAGGGGTCATCTACTGCTCATGACCAATCACCATACCAAGTTTGAAGTTCCTAGGCCTTAAGGTTCTTTAGTTATTGATCGGAAACCGTTTTTGCTTTCAAGGTCAATGTGACCTTGACCTTTGACCCCTTGACCCCAAAATCAATAGGGGTCATCTACTGATCATGACCAATCACCATACCAAGTTTGAAGATCCTAGGCCTTAAGGTTCTTTAGTTATTGATCGGAAACCGTTTTTGCTTTTAAGGTCAATGTGACCTTGACCTTTGACCCCTTGTCCCCAAAATCAATAGGGGTCATCTACTGGTCATGACTAATCACCATACCAAGTTTGAAGTTCCTAGGCCTTAAGGTTCTTTAGTTATTGATCGGAAACTGTTTTTGCTTTCAAGGTCAATGTGACCTTGACCTTTGACCCCTTGACTCCAAAATCAATAGGGGTCATCTACTGGTCATGACTAATCACCATACCAAGTTTGAAGTTCCTAGGCCTTAAGGTTCTTTAGTTATTGATCGGAAACTGTTTTTGCTTTCAAGGTCAATGTGACCTTGACCTTTGACCCCTTGACTCCAAAATCAATAGGGGTCATCTACTGGTCATGACCAATCACCATACCAAGTTTGAAGTTCCTAGGCCTTAAGGTTCTTTAGTTATTGATCGGAAACCGTTTTTGCTTTCAAGGTCAATGTGACCTTGACCTTTGACCCCTTGACTCCAAAATCAATAGGGGTCATCTACTGGTCATGACCAATCACCATCTCAAGTTTGAAGTCCCTAGGCCTAAGGGTTCTTTCATTATTGATCGGAAACCGTTTTTACCTACAAGGTCAATGTGACCTTGACCTTTGACCCCTTAACGCCAAAATCAATAGGGGTCATCTGATTGGTCATAACCAATCACCATACCAAGTTTGAAGTTCCTAGGCCTAAGGGTTCTTTTGTTATTGATCAGAAACCGTTTTTAATTAAAAGGTCAATGTGACCTTGACCTTTGACCCCTTGACCCCAAAATCTATACGGGTCATCTACTGATCATGACCAATCACCATACCAAGTTTGAAGTTCCTAGGCCTTAAGGTTCTTTAGTTATTGATCGGAAACCGTTTTTACCTACAAGGTCAATGTGACCTTGACCTTTGACCCCTTGACCCCAAAATCAATAGGGGTCATCTACTGATCATGACCAATCACCATACCAAGTTTGACGTTCCTAGGCCTTAAGGTTCTTTAGTTATTGATCGGAAACCGTTTTTGCTTTTAAGGTCAATGTGACCTTGACCTTTGACCCCTTGACCCCAAAATCAATAGGGGTCATCTACTGGTCATGACTAATCACCATACCAAGTTTGAAGTTCCTAGGCCTTAAGGTTCTTTAGTTATTGATCGGAAACTGTTTTTGCTTTCAAGGTCAATGTGACCTTGACCTTTGACCCCTTGACTCCAAAATCAATAGGGGTCATCTACTGGTCATGACCAATCACCATACCAAGTTTGAAGTTCCTAGGCCTTAAGGTTCTTTAGTTATTGATCGGAAACCGTTTTTGCTTTCAAGGTCAATGTGACCTTGACCTTTGACCCCTTGACCCCAAAATCAATAGGGGTCATCTACTGCTCATGACCAATCACCATACCAAGTTTGAAGTTCCTAGGCCTTAAGGTTCTTTAGTTATTGATCGGAAACCGTTTTTGCTTTCAAGGTCAATGTGACCTTGACCTTTGACCCCTTGACCCCAAAATCAATAGGGGTCATCTACTGATCATGACCAATCACCATACCAAGTTTGAAGTTCCTAGGCCTTAAGGTTCTTTAGTTATTGATCGGAAACCATTTTTGCTTTTAAGGTCAATGTGACCTTGACCTTTGACCCCTTGACCCCAAAATCAATAGGGGTCATCTACTGGTCATGACTAATCACCATACCAAGTTTGAAGTTCCTAGGCCTTAAGGTTCTTTAGTTATTTATCGGAAACTGTTTTTGCTTTCAAGGTCAATGTGACCTTGACCTTTGACCCCTTGACTCCAAAATCAATAGGGGTCATCTACTGATCATGACCAATCACCATACCAAGTTTGAAGTTCCTAGGCCTTAAGGTTCTTTAGTTATTGATCGGAAACCGTTTTTGCTTTCAAGGTCAATGTGACCTTGACCTTTGACCCCTTGACCCCAAAATCAATAGGGGTCATCTACTGGTCATGACCAATCACCATACCAAGTTTGAAGTTCCTAGGCCTTAAGGTTCTTTAGTTATTGATCGGAAACCGTTTTTGCTTTCAAGGTCAATGTGACCTTGACCTTTGACCCCTTGACCCCAAAATCAATAGGGGTCATCTACTGGTCATGACCAATCACCATACCAAGTTTGAAGTTCCTAGGCCTTAAGGTTCTTTAGTTATTGATCGGAAACCGTTTTTGCTTTCAAGGTCAATGTGACCTTGACCTTTGACCCCTTGACCCCAAAATCAATAGGGGTCATCTACTGGTCATGACCAATCACCATACCAAGTTTGAAGTTCCTAGGCCTAAGGGTTCTTTAGTTATCACTCGGAAACCATTTGGTCTACGGACGGACGGACCGACGGACCGACAAGTGCAAAGCAATATACCCCCTTTTTTTCAAAATGGGGGCATAATAACACTAAGTCCTGCCATTTAGCTAAAACTTGAGATATTTTGAACAAAAAACAGACATTTTCACGGATTTTTCCGCAGCTGTCACTTTTAACCTGCTCAAAATAGTCTAAAAACAGGAAAAACGAGTCCAAAATTACCTAATAGTATCTCCAGTCAATGGACAATAGTTTCATAGCAATGAAATGGGCCGTATTTGTGTAATATAATAATACCAAACAAATTTATAACCTACCTGTACCGAGCGGTAAATTCCGGCTATCTGCCATCACTGCAGTGATCTGCCATCACTGCCGCCGGTAATACGGTGTGAATACCTGTCATATGTTGCGGTTCAGGTCGGAATATCCGTACCAAGGGGATCCCGCCCATTGGGCGGTAACAATGCTTGCCGAACATAACGGAATACTTGTACGTCAGTAATTTCCGAACATTTTATTGGTCACTGTTGATATATTGCACACTTAAGTGGTAACTGTTACCTATAGCACACCTTAATGGTATCTGTTATCTATCACACTTAAGCGGTTACAATTATTATACAGCACGCATTTATGGTAACTGTTATCATACAGCACATGTTTATGGTAACTGTATCATACAGCACATGTTTATGGTAACTGTTATCATACAGCACATGTTTATGGTAACTGTTATCCTGTTATCATACAGCACATGTTTATGGTAACTGTATCATACAGCACATGTTTATGGTAAATGTTATCATACAGCACATGTCTATGGTAACTGTTATCATACAGCACATGTTTATGGTAAATGTTATCATACAGCACACGTTTATGGTAACTGTTATCATACAGCACATGTTTATGTTAACTGTATCATACAGCACATATTTATGGTAAATGTTATCATACAGCACATGTTTATGGTAACTGTTATCATATAGCACATGTTTATGGTAAATGTTATCATACAGCACATGTTTATGGTAACTGTTATCATACAGCACATGTTTATGATAACTGTATCATACAGCACATTTTAGTGGTTACTTCTATTATACAGCACAGATTCAATTACAATGGTTCAAGTATAGGTATCATAATTCTTATAACTGATTTGATTAAATTGTTTATGTTTCAATTATTCTTCATATGAAACAAGGCAGGGCAGACAGAAGAAAGCAAACATTTTTCAGAGGTTTTTAGAGTGGAGACGTTATAACCGGATGAAAACAAGTAAAATTTTACTTAAATACGCTATGCATGTGACTTTCCAGAATTGATATACAGTCAAACCATTGTTAGAGACAAACTCAGATTTAAGACCCAGTAGTTAAGACCACTTTTTTAGAAACCTTCAATGAAAAATGTCGTTCCTAATAAATACCTTTTGTCATTCAATGCCATGCATGTTCTCTCTTTGGATGGTCCTTATTTACCAGTTTGACTGTACTGTGTTATTAGCTGGACTTTTTGCGGGAAAAATCATGTTTCCGTTCCCGTTCCAGTTCATAACAATATGTTGTTGTTAATGTTTTGTTGGAGTATTCCTTACTTTGTGTCATCCGATGAGTAAGAAAATATCGAGTGTGACTCCCGCTAGGCGGTGTTTATCATTATTTTATTTTTTTATGTACACACGATTTCTTCACCTGCATAAACATAATAACTGAAGACGTGAAATTATTTTAATAGAATGTAACTTGATATACAAGTTTGCTAATGTCTTGTATCAATAAAGTACAGGAAAATTCAACAGCATCCTAACTAGAATAAAAATTGAGCCGCGTCATGACAAAACCAACATAATGGGTTTGCGACCAGCATGGATCGAGGCCAGCCTGCGCATCCGTCCGGATCCATGCTGGTCGCAAACCGATTATGTTGGTTTTGTCATGGCACGGCTCAAATGACCTTCTGTAATGCTAAATTGTTTAACGAGAAAAGGTTGGAGTTAAAAGGATATAACATCAATATAAAATGTTTGTTCTTAAGGAGATTGGAATTGTACAAATTATTCAGAACACTGCATTTTGAAGATCATTTAGTGTTTTGAACTTCCGTCCCTTCAGCTGTCCTTTGATGTGTAGAAAAATATAGTTACCAAACTAAATTATAAACACTTCTTTATATAAAGTTACGGCGCCATTTAATAGATTTATTGATTTAAAAAAAATGATTACAAAAAATACGAGGCCCAAATACCAATTTATCAACTCTTTAACGACAACACAAAAACGTTACAATAGGGCGAATGACGTCATATTTTCTAGTGACGTCAGGAATACGTACGTGTACACACTTTTCCCTTATATGTAGTGTTTAAAGGATACTGTGATGCATCAAAGTAATGAACTAACCCTTTTTTTTTGTCGTGCGCCGGTTTTACGTTACTTAAGTAACTGTATGAGTCGTCACTACACGAAACGCCGGTTACACGGCTTTTTCTTTTGTTTTCTTATTTGAGACATATTTCACCTTCAAGTGATATATAATTCATGTTTTTTTATCAATTACTCTCACGACAATAACTGCACTGCACGAAAACTGTTATATCGTTCTCATATTTTTTCTACGTCTATATGGCAAAAATTAATACCTTTCAGAAATCAAAATATCAGTTGAATACCTGAAGATGACCCCAACCTTATTAAATGTAGATAAAGTTAGTGCACACTACTTCATATTTTGCTGCAAACCATTAACATGTATTTTGTTTCGGCAGACCAATAACATATTGTTACTTAATGTTCTCTTAAACTGCCAGGAATAATGTATACATGAAGACATCATGCTTAAGTATTGAATTCAAAGCATATTTTATCCTGTATGTTAATGGACTATATTTAGCCTTTTTCAGTCTACAAAACATGCGTTAGTAAAAAGTTATATAAATTGAGAAGAAAAAACCACAAGCAACGGAGATAAGAACCAACGTTATATAACCAAATTTGTGTGCAAATGATAAGCGTACTACGTACTTTACGCTTCATAATGATTTACCACTTATTAAATAATAAAATACACTAAAACGTGCCGTAACATAGCACAATCTTGAAACACACTGGCAGTAACAAAAGTTATCATAAGAACTCTAGGACATTTTCAGAGTTATCGCAAGAACTCTGTGACATTTGGAAAATCGGGTATAAATCTATTAGCCTGGGCATTACATTTGCAACTTTCCATTATAATTAGATAAGAAGATCATAAATAAAAAGGTCAGTATGTTCGAGTGAACAAGTAATTTGGAATTTTTACACAAAACTACCAGATTTTAAACAAGAGGCGATGACAAATGGACTTTCAAGTTTTTTTCTGAAATAAAATACAAATTTGAAAGGCAAGCTTAATCATCAAAGTTTAATTCAACACTTGAACTCCCCATTTAACTATATTTCAATTTTTTACTACAATAAAGTTTTCCGACGAAATCTGTTACGTTTTCCATGAACTGCGTGACCAGTTATCATAATAACTCCATCCTTCGTGTAACCGTTCCTCACCCGTGATAGTATGCACTGTCTTACCTTAAATCCTGGCTCCTCCCCTGGTTGGCTTTGCTTGTCAAAAAGTAATAAATTTCTATTTATAGATATATAATGTTTGTTTCAGTTGTCCGCGCATATTCACAAGTGATGGAACATTTTTAAACATTTTTCTTTTTTGTTTGTTTTTGATGCGAATTCTTTAGTAGTAGTGATAGAAATGGTAAGATTTTGATTTACTGGAAATTTATTTATTCTGTGTTTTGAATGTTTTAAAAAATGTCTATTCAATATGTTATTTTGTGACGGAAGTGATAGCAGACGACAATTAATTGTTTTATTTTATTTCAAATTATTGGTGACTTATGATGTTATACATGTATAATTATAGTCCACTGTTATTAACGGTTTCGATTAGATATTTACCACTCATTTATGTTATACGCTGAAAAGCCAAAGGCTAGTGAGCTTCAGATGACTTGAGTTTCATAATTAGCCTTGAAAAAAGTTATTTAACATTTCATATTTTTACAATTATCCATGAAAAATGTAAAATATCAGATAATAACGGATAAACATGAAATAGGTTAGAGTCACCGGACCAGTGCTCAACTAGTATTTCACAAAATCCAGAAAAAACTCTTTCAAAACAAAAATATTGCTCGAAAACTTATTTTTGTTACAAAGCTGGGCCTTTAAAACTCATAATGTCTATATCCTGGATTAGACCCCGGAAAAAAACAACAAAAAGTGTAAATAATGACCCCCTTTAAAAATATAATATAAGTTAACGTATATTATATTTTCAAAGGGGGTCATTATTTACATTTTTTTTGACACTTTTAAGATGAACACAGGTTTTTTTATCAATCTGGTCACATTTTTTCTTCCCAGGTCCGATACTCGTGCTTGTGTCTAAACCAGGAGTATATATACAGTAAGGTTCATTCCGTTTTCTTTAGTGTATTATATACAAGTTTTAGACCTGAAAAAAAAACATAGGGATCTAATCCAGGTGATTGCCCTCACAATGACACAGATCAGAATACCATTTGCCACGGAGTTGTACATAGGGCCTAAAACGTAACCAGTGCTCGACCAGGTGGTTTTATTTTTATCAGAACTTTTATTTTTGAAAAACAGATATGACTTTTTGTGTTTAACAATTTCATTTCAAAAATATTTTGGAACATTTCTGTTTTAGTGTGTATGGATATAGATATGAGATAAATATGATAGGAAGGAAAATTAATGTTAGACATTGACAAATAAAGTGTTTTACAGAGGCTTTTTTCACGGGGGGGGGGGGGGTACACATAGTAAAGTGTGATACTTGATGTAATAAACAGTTGGTCTGCCCTTTTTGTGGTGTGTTCCCTATTTGTAACCGGACAGCTGCCATATTTGTTTACATGTTCATAGCCATTGCCTTTTATTTGATGATTTGTGGGGCCCTTTCCCATGGAACTCAATGAGTAAAGGAAATTTAACAAAGCATTGTCCAAATTTGCCCTAAATTATCATTATGTCAGTCCTTTAAATAGTTTTTACTGCAACTTTTATTATAGACATATATTTTTGTTCTGTTTATTATCGTATGCAAAATTGCCATGTTCTACCAAACTTTGAGTGTAGAGGTTACAGGTTATGTATAAATAGCACACATGATCTCCGAGCGTTTTTTTCTCACTTAAATAACGCATAAATCGTACGCAAATAAAAGTATTGGTCGAGCAATGGGCTGGTCGAGCACAGGTACGGTGACTCGATAGATGATGTGTTTCAAAGTAGACAATTATTCAAAAAACCATTTTAATGTCCCTCTGACACAATAGTCAATTGTGTCCAATGTCCTGATCCAAAGTTTGGTGGAAAGGACCGAGAAGATTTGATTGTGTTTGGCCATTTAAATGGGTAATTGAATATTTGCCTACTTTAAAACACAACATCTATCATTCTTGAATAGTATGTATATGGTATTTTGGTCTAACAAAGCAAGTAACTAACCATGTAAATAGCAATTCAATGCTGGGAGTTGATGACTAAATTTTTTCTTCTCCCAAAATATCGAGTATAAGTCTACCGAAATTAAGTAAATTCATAGATATAAAAGTAAACAATGCATTATTAAGCTTATGGTTTAAGAAATCGAAAGTGCAAAATGCCAACCTGTTGACATAGGGTCCAGTATGTTTATATAATTTGATTATCAAAATTGTACCGAAACAGACTTTTTTGAATATCAAATATTGACATCGTATTCTTTATCAAAGATTACACTCTGTGTTTTACATATAAAATCACGTGGTAGAAATACTTTTACAGTCTGATTTTATTGACCTGTCAAATATGAATACATTTTATAAGATTAATTTGAATATTCGATCCAACTTCGGTTATATCCATGTAGTTAACGATAATTAAAATGGAAAATATAAATAATGTTTTGAAAAGTCACAGTATATAAGTCGTTATCACATCCTGTTAAGTGATTTCCTGGTATACGAGTGGTCAGTGGTCAGAGGATAACTGTTGTCATAGTTTCGTTTCTTTATTTATTTTTTTAAGTATTTTTAATAGAAATGACCAAGTGTTTACAAAAATGTAGAACTAACCAGCTAGTGGTACTCCTTATTGCGTTAAGACGCTCAGTATAACTACATGTATATTACAGAAACAAATGTAATCACATGTTATAAGGTGCTTTGCCGAAAATCTACAGTATATCTATATATTGTGTGCTTTGACCGTATAATCAGTCTCATAAGTATGCTATCGTCAGGTTAATAAAATCAAACAATACTGTAGTCCGTATTAAGTCTGATTATGAATAATAGCCGAGGAATTCCGATATGATGGAGAAATCAGGAGGAATTACTTCCTGTTCGAGTAAAAATCCCACCCTTCTTATTTCCCCTCCGTGATAACTATTTGTTTTCATATTTTCAATGTAAATATATCATTTGATCAAGATTTAATGTAAAAATATCATTTTAAAACGGTTCAAACATGTTAAACATATATCGTTCTTGGTGTTTGTCCATACAATGAACTATAGAAGAAATATTTTCTTCTTTAGCTTGACCCTCCCCCACCAATTCTTCGGGTTCAGAATGAAGAAGGAAATGCTTACTTTCAAGCATACAATGTATTAATTATAACGATGGAAATACTTCATTTTTGCATATGAATTTCTGCAATTATTAAAACAAAGTTTAGCTTTAATTATGCATTGTTAATGTTAAACATAGCATCTGAATATAGTATTATACTTCTTATTTGTCATTATGCATTATTTGTTCCTAACCATGCAAAATTGAAGTTAATAACACCTCAGCATTTTATATATTATATAGAAAGATTATCGCTGATTAACACTTTTTTCTACTCTCTTTTCAGAACTTCAAGGCGACCTGATTAAATTCTACAGAAAAAGGTGTAGTTCAATACCTCTCTCACCGCTTCTTGAAGAAATAGAGACACCTCTAGCTGGGTTCTACGTCATGCCAGATATAGTCACTGTAAAAAAGAAGTCCCTAACTTGTCATGAAGAGGAGAGAACACCGATCAAGTCTTTGAAAGACCTGTTTTCAACCGGAAGTCGAGATCAACAAGAAATTTATCTATCAGCTGATGCAGGCTTTGGAAAAACTGCTTTCTCAAAATATCTTGCAGTCACGTGGTGTCAAGCTCATTGTCACGATGAAAACTACGCCTGCTTTAAAAAGGGCGAGTTAAAAACGTTATTTGACTTCAAGTTCTTATTTTTGGTTTTATTAAGAGACTGTACCTCTGTTTGCAACATTGACGATATGATTAAACAGCAAATTACGACGAAACTTCCTACTTCTGCAATACTAGATGAAGTTTTACGTAGAGAAAAGTGCTTGATTATAATGGACGGTCTTGATGAATGGAATCACCCTGATAATAGCTGTAGCGAAGTAACAGAAAAAATCCCACATCGATACGTACGTGATAATTGTGTTATCCTTACGACAACTCGACCGTGGAAACTCGGAGTCGCAAATCTCAAAACAAGTCAAATAAACAAAAAAGTAGAATTGGTTCAATTAAGTGCAGATTCTACGCGGCAACTTGAAGAAAATGCTATAAGAAAAATGACCGGTGTCCGTGACGATAGAGTACTGGAGAGTAAAAGACGGGACTTTAATAAAGTGATACGTGACCGTCGCCTAGAGCACATGCAAGTGATTCCACTCCTCCTCATGTATATAGTTTGCCTGTGGTGCAACAACATTCCTATAGGAAATTCAAAACATGAAATTTACACAAATATCATTGAATTTCTATTATCGAGAACGTCAAAGAAACACCCGGAAGTTCAACCATCTCGTGAATCGTCTGCCAGTGAAATTCCAGAATACTTCAAAAGTCATGAATTTTGTAAAAAGTTTTACAGTCTTATAACATCATTAGCAGAACTAGCTTACCAAACATTATTTAACAAAAACAGAGAAAACACGCTGGTATTTGATAGAATGGTTGCTGATATATATCTCAAAGCAGACGACATGAAATTAAGTCTTCTCTCAGGAATATTGTCAGAAAGTAGAAGTAAAACTTTAATTAAAGAAATTAGTAAAGTATCGTTTTCTCACAAAACAGTGCAAGAATTCTTTGCCGCCATATTTATAAGTTCTCAAAGTGACGCGCAGAAAACTGTTGTAGAAAATTGTAGAAATGTTCAAGATATTCTGGACATGTCAAAAATTTGTGAATTTATAAGTGGAATGAATGCTGACCGGATGTGTGAAATATCAAATGATTGGATGTCTGTGATAAATGAAGACGAGAAAACACGCGACTATAGAACTAGGACAGGTGACGGGTACATGTACAATACTCCATTGTATAACATACAGAAAATGTTCATGTCGTGTTTACAAGAAATGCCTGAAAGTGAAAATATTCAATTATGTTTACAAGATTTCTTCATTGACGAGGACACCGAGGACAGTAAGCTGTTACAACGTTTATTAAAACAAAATAAAACCAACATAAAATCACTTTATATATACACCAGGAGAAATACTTCCAGCAGTTTACGTGAAATTATAGATTTATTCTCTCTCACAGATCTCAGTCATATACAGAAACTTTACTATAGTGGTGGCCAGGAGAAGGAGGCTGAGATAAGCCGGATTTTGTTTCCCAGTTTACAGTACGTTACTTTGTACCGGGGTACATGGATAAATGATGAAGAAAATCTGAGTGAAAATTTAGCGCGAGTACAAAACTTACAATATTTATATATTCAAACTTCACGTTATCTCACAAAATACTGGAAACATTTTACAATTTTATCTCCGCTCAAAAATCAATGAAAGAGTTAACATTGACTGGTTAGACTGTAAAGAACATGGCCGCCATGATTGTAAGAGATTGATGAACTTGGACTTGTCTCAACATTCAACTCTATCAAAGTTAGACTTGTCGTGGTTACCTGGGAGGCTACAATTAAATATAACAACACCGTCATTAGTTGATGTTACGTTGTACGACATCAATCTAGATGATGTAAGTTCATTGTTACTGTCACGTGACATGTTGAATATTGAACGTGTGGTGTTGAGGAAGATAGAAATGTCTGCAGAAAGTTTACAGAACTTTTTATCCCGTGCTGAAAAATCTGCCGCAGTCAGTTACAGTAGAGATGAGACGACATTAAACCGGAAACAGAATATGACCGTGTTAGAGAAAATATTCGGAGTTCACAAACTTTTCATGTGATACAAAGAGACGACGACGACTTGGTTTGAGTTCAAAACAATAAAACCAAGTAAAGAATAAACAAAGGAAAAACATTGTGAAATAAACTAATGAAATGACTTCAATAATTTTAAATGAAAACAATTTAAATATGGACACTTAAAAAACAAAATGGCGGTTTCTTCTACGTTATACATGTACTGTATAGTTTGGTCATTTAATTCACAAACATTTATTTCTGTTTAAAGTTTAATTAAGTGACAGTTGTTATATAAATAAATAAATAAAAACATTTTAAGAGGAGAAATAATTCAAGGACATTTTTTACCGGAACTTAATGGATAACTTGGAATAAGGATTTGGAAATATTTTACAGGTAAGAGATTTTATATTGAATTTTTTACTTTTTTTTATAATTATTTCATTTTACACACCTAAGTATTAAAATAGATTATTCTTATTGAATTATATAATAAGATATTTTATTTAAATTAAATAAAAACACTTTATATTATAATAAAAAATTCTACTTTTAACATTTTACCATAATTTTTTTATTTTATAGTTAGAATAAAACTTAGTTAATAAAGACACATGAATATGTATGAACAATTGTTAAAAAGCTACCCCCCCCCCAATCTGTAGACAGGTGGAGGTAACTCTATTAAGCATTTTAACAGAATTATGTCCCTTTTTTGACTTAGAATTTATGCTTAAGTTTGCGTACCACCTCAAATATTTTCAAAGTCCATTGACATATGGCTTTGTTACTTTGCACACTTATTCACCATCATGCCCCCAACATGTAGACAGGAGGAGGTAACTCTATATAAGCATTTTGCCAGAATTATGTCCCTTTTTTACTTAGAATTTATGCTTAATTATTAATAAGTTTGAGTTACCACCTCAATATTTTCAAAGTCCATTGACATATGGCTTTGTTACTTTGCACACTTATTCACCATCATGCCCCCAACATGTAGACAGGAGGAGGTAACTCTATTAAGCATTTTAACAGAATTATATCCCTTTTTTGACTTAGAATTTATGCTTAAGTTTGCGTACCACCTCAAATATTTTCAAAGTCCATTGACATATGGCTTTGTTACTTTGCACACTTATTCACCATCATGCCCCCAACATGTAGACAGGAGGAGGTAACTCTATTAAGCATTTTAACAGAATTATGTCCCTTTTTTGACTTAGAATTTATGCTTAAGTTTGCGTACCACCTCAAATATTTTCAAAGTCCATTGACATATGGCTTTGTTACTTTGCACACTTATTCACCATCATGCCCCCAACATGTAGACAGGAGGAGGTAACTCTATTAAGCATTTTGACAGAATTATGTCCCTTTTTTGACTTAGAATTTATGCTTAAGTTTGCGTACCACCTCAAATATTTTCAAAGTCCATTGACATATGGCTTTGTTACTTTGCACACTTATTCACCATCATGCCCCCCAACATGTAGACAGGAGGAGGTAACTCTATTAAGCATTTTGACAGAATTATGTCCCTTTTTTACTTAGAATTTATGCTTAATTATTAATAAGTTTGAGTTACCACCTCAATATTTTCAAAGTCCATTGACATATGGCTTTGTTACTTTGCACACTTATTCACCATCATGCCCCCAACATGTAGACAGGAGGAGGTAACTCTTTTAAGCATTTTGACAGACTTATGTCCCTTTTTGACTTAGAATTTATGCTTAAGTTTGCATATTACCTCAAATATTTTCAAAGTCCATGGACATATGGCTTTGTTACTTTGCACACTTATTCACCATCATGCCCCCAACAGGTAGACAGGAGGAGATAACTATCAAGCATTTTGACAGAATTATGTCCCTTTTTACTTAGAATTTATGCTTAATTATTAATAAGTTTGAGTAACCACCTCAATATTTTCAAAGTCCATTGACATATGGCTTTGTTACTTTGCACACTTATTCACCATCATGCCCCCAACATGTAGACAGGAGGAGGTAACTCTATTAAGCATTTTGACAGAATTATGTCCCTTTTTTACTTAGAATTTATTCTTAAGTTTGAGTACCACCTCAAATATTTTCAAAGTCCATTGACATATGGCTTTGTTACTTTGCACACTTATTCACCATCATGCACCAAACATGTAGACAGGAGGAGGTAAATTTATTAAGCATTTTAACAGAATTATGTCCCTTTTTGACTTAGAATTTATGCTTAAGTTTGCGTACTACCTCAAATATTTTCAAAGTCCATTGACATATGGCTTTGTTACTTTGCACACTTATTCACCATCATGACCCTATCCTGCAGACAGGAGGAGGTAACTCTATCAAGCATTTTGGCAGAATTATGCCCCTTTTTCGACATAGAATATAATTATGTTAAAGTTTGCATTCCACCTCAAATATTTTCAAAGTCAATTGACATATGGCTTTGAAACTTTTCAGGCTTGTTCACCATTCACCATCATGTCCCCAACCTGAAGACATGAGATGGTAATAGAAATTTTTTTAGATGGTATAAGACAATTTTTAAGTTTTTTTTTTTCGGTTGCCATGCTCTTGTTGCCATGCCTTTTGTTCATTGTTTCAAATATGTCTGCCTTATTTAATAACAAGGGTATTTTGATACCCATTTACCAGAAAACATAAAACATTTATTCAAGTATGCAAGAGTTTTAGTCATGATGTCACAGTTAAATCTACACGTCAGTATATTCTGCCGCCTGTAATATTTTATGTTTCATGGAAATCAGTTCATCACATATATTATAATATACATTTAACAATATGTGTTATTTCTCATTTCAGTGGCCTAATGGATCAAAATTTCCGATTCTTTGTTGTGCAGAATCTCCCATGACATTTATATGGAGCATTGTGTGATGATTATAGATCAATTTGTAGATTTGTATTTGAAAAACTTCCCATTGTCTTGGTAAGACTTTACAAATATCTTTATGATGGACAGCCTAAATAACTGTATAATTATGTAAATTAACATAGTTATGCCCCCTTAGTAGAAGGTGGGGATATATTGCACTGAGTGACTAATTGCATCACATTTGTCGGTCAACAGTTGGTTCTTCTGTCAGTCAGTCTGAAAACAAAACTGTGTCCAGTCAAAAACTTAATAACAGCGAACTTGCTTTATGAACTTCAAACTTGTGATGGAGGTTTAAAAACCTAAGAACATAAAAATTTGAATTTTCATACATAAATGAGCTGGGGCACTTTAAACTGAAATATATGCACAAAGATAGTCAAGATATAATTATACTTCGAAATAAATTGAAAATCGTATTTTTATGCTTTTCTTAGATCAATTTGTTGTGAAAAGCATTTAAATGCTTTTCATTTATAGTCATATTTTTACAATTAGAATAATTATTCTGGAAAAACAAAGTGCGCAAATGATCTGAAATGTTGCACAAAGATTAATGGTTTAAACCTACTTCAAATGGTACATTTATCTGGAAAAATATTTTCAGTTCCATCATTTCTAAAAACCTCAGTGGAGTCCCTTTAAGTTTTGATAAAATTTGATTTCTAATATCTTTTTGTTATATAAATGGTATCTATGTAATTTAGACTTGATAAAATTGTTAGAGCATAGAAATGTATGTTGAACTTCTATAATGACATGGTGTCATGCAAATTATGTGATGCAAAAATATTGAACATATATTTTTATGCTTTCTTGATACCTATACAAAAATGTGTTTGTATCATAATTATTTTTTTTTCATAGTTTTGTTTTCCTTTACACATGGATTTATTTAGTAGAGTGTGTTGTCTCCTGTGCCAGCTCTTGTTATTATTACTGCTATAAAATATGTAAATTAACAAAATAAATAAAATCCATCAAGTAACAACGGTTACGGCTGGTATAGTTTTAGACGTGCCCATTTTTGTGCCCCCACTTTAATGGCGGGCATTTAGATTTACCCTTGTCCGTCCTTCCGTCTGTTCACTTTTGTGTCGCACATAACTCAAAAAGTATTTGACCGAGAGTCATGAAACTTTACAAGAATGTTGATCAGCATGTGTAGATGTGCAACTGGGTATTTTCGTGTGGATTTATTTAGTATTTTTAGAGTTATTGCCCTTGACTTAGTAAAATTTTGCAATTTTCAACTTGTGTCGCATGTAACTCAAAAAGTATTTGACATAGAGTCATGAAACTTTACAAGAATGTTGATCAGCATGTGTAGATGTGCAACTGGGTATTTTCGTGTGGATTTATTTAGTATTTTTAGAGTTTTAAAGCCCTTGACTTAGATGTTTTTTACAATTTTCATTTTGTGTCGCATGTAACTCAAAAAGGATTTGACATATAGAGTCATTAAACCTTACGGGAAGGTTGCTCAGCATATTTAGTTTTGCACCTGGGGTTTCGCTTGTGTATTTATCCAGTATTTGTAGAGTTATTTCTCTTGAATTAGTAAAAACCGTTTCATTATGTTGTTATTTGTTCCTTGAGTGCTTGAGTTAGAATCAACCAACTTTACAGAAATAATAATCAACATCACTAAATTACAGAAATAATGATTCACATTACTGTGAAGCTATGAACCTGGGACTTTGCAATGCCATGTGGATTTTTTTCAGTTTTGTAAGAGTTATTGCCCTTGACTTACAGTAGTATAAATTTGCAATTTTCAACTTGTTCATACATAGCTCAAAAAGTATTGTAGACCTGAAAGTTTACAAGAATGTTGGTCAGCATGTGTACTTATTATGCATGTGGATTTATTCAGTTTTTGTAAAGTTCTTGCCCTTTACTTAGTAAAAGATTTTTAGTTTTCAAAAAATATTTGACCTAGAGTCATAAGATTGACAGAACAGTGGAGCGGTGGGGGCACCTGTGTCCTATGGACACATTTCTAGTTATGTTTGTATTTTTTGCTAGTTTCAGCATTCCTAAACCAGTTTCATTGATGATGATGATAGGCAAAAGTATTGATTTTATTTCAATTCTGTATCGGTAATTGATTGACAAAAAATATCAACTATACATTAAATAGAGGATATTGAATGAGTGTATGTTTAATACTAAATTTATTGAACCAGTTGAATAAAATCATATTATGCTAGCCTCTGGCGAGCATAATTATGTTTTATTCAACGAGTTCAATAAATTAAGTATTGAATCTACACGAATATATAATATTCTATTTATCACATATATAAAATAAGAATGTTAAAGAGTCATTTTTCATTGAGGCGCCATTAGTGTAACACTAACATAAACACGCTTTAATGCTTTATAATGTTAAAGATTATAGCGCAAATGACGTCATGTCAAAGTGTTATTACACTATAGTGTTATATTTTTTTTTTATTAAATGGCTTTATTACACTCCTGCGCTGCTTTTTATGTAATAATTTATTTTATGTCAATGAATTCAATCGGTCCCAAATCCCAAATTATATGTGATGTGTTTGCAGTTTTTACTTAGATGACAATAACATTTCTTTTTAGTTGCAATACAAGAGGTCAGTGAATCTACTTGAATACTCTCCGGTTTGGTTCTTTCACTCTAAGCCTCCTGGGGATAACATATTCTATACCCATGTTACCAATGCAGACCACGATCAGCCGTCATATACATGAATAGTTTTAAGTTTTCCCTAATATGGTGAATGGTTCCGTCCAGACTGAATGATTGACAAGTCTATTTAAGTCATTTGGATTGGTTAGCTTGAAAATTGACAGGAAAAAATCAGTATATTCAAAACACATAAAATATTATTATACTGTTAGAATAGAAAAATCCTACTACATGATCTTATAATTATGACTTCTTGCTTTCCTTTATTTCAGAATTTCAGTAATAATAAACCTACACGGACAATGAGGACAATCACAACTGTTTTTTATCCATCAATCTCCGGATGATTATCAGTGGGATGTTCTGAATGACAAAGAAAGATGTTCAAGTTCTTCAATAGTTCGATATTATGATTTCACACCTGATACCTGGCTGTATGGGGACAGACATGAATTAAATTTGTGATTAACAGTACCAGAAAAATCCCCAACCATCATTACTTGCCAATGCATTGAATAACATTCTGGTTCCTGGCTTAATGGAAACATGAAAAGAAAACTTTTGCATCAAACAGATATCTGTTTTGTACAATTAGAATTTGAATCTCAAAGGAAATTACATCAAAACCACTGTCAAATATTTCAGTATTCCTTTAAATAAACTTTGTGTTAAAAAGATAATTGAAATAATTTGATTTAATTAGATATACAGTACATGTATAAGTCTGTTTCTGCAATTTAAGACTGATATTATATATCAAGAATTGTTAAATTAATTTTTATTGAAGGCCTATTACACTTTAGAATTTCTATCAGTTTTATTTCATTTTTTCAATACTTTTTAGTCCCCTACCGGTTTACCGGAGGGGACTTTAGGTTTACCCTCCGTCCGTCTGTCCGTCCATCTGTCCGTCCGTCCGTCTGTCAGTCCGTCAGTCCGTCCACAAAACTGGATCCCGCGATAACTTGAAAAGTACTGAAAATATTTTAATGAAACTTGGTATATGGATAGATGGCAGTATGGAGATTATGCACGTCTTTTTATTTTCTTCCTATGTTGAAAATTCTGGTTGCTATGGCAACAAATAGGCTGAAAATATGGCAAATTTTACACATAAACTGGATCCAGTGATAACGCAAAAAGTACTGGAAATATTTTTATGAAACTTTACATATGGGTAGATAGCAGTCTTTAGATTATGCATGCTTTATCTGTTCTTCCTATTTTGAAAAAATATCAGTTGCCTTGGCAACAAATAGGCTTAAAACATGGCAATATAACAATATTTGTGATTAGTCAAAAAGAGCTGAACATTTTTATGAAATTGCATCTTTAATTCAAGAGTTATCTCCTCTTTAAGAATTTTGCTTTTAAAATGGTATATTTTGGTAACAGGGATGTTTCAAATATTAACTTTAGAGTGTCTTTCAGTCCGTCTGTCTGTCTGTTCATAAAAACTGTATCCTGTGATCACTTTTAAAGAACTTTTCCAACAAATTTTCTTAAAATAGAGAAAAATTGAAACATTAGTGAATGGCCAATGGCCCTTCAGAATGTTGATGGGGTTCTAACCGGTAGGGGACTTATGGATTGCTTGCAATACTATGATAATTGCTTGTTATTTTAGTAATCGTGTTACAGTTTCCAAAATTAAATCCTATTGCCAATTATACATAATTTCTCTAATGCTGATTTTGTTATGTTGGCAATTGCTATAATTTAAGTTAATTAATATTAGATTTCACTGAGTTAACACCAGATGCAATATTTTCATGAGTGGCGTAAAAGCCACGAGTGAAAATATAATAGCTGGTGTTCACGAATGAAATATATATTTCAATCTTATTTGTAAAACTAATAATTTTTCTTTTTATTTCATGCTTTTTAAGTGATGTTTAGTATTTTTTACTGATTTTGCCAGGCAATGTGGCACATTCTCCTTTATGACGTCATAATATCATGACGTCACATCATCAATTTTGAAATATAGTTCTGTTAAATTTCTCTAATTTTGTTACCTTTTTAAAATGATGTACAACTTCCTTTCCCTAAAGAAGCAAAATTTACATATGAGTTACCGCTTTTATTTTTGCCCGTTATTCCAGTTAGTTATGATATAATCATATTCTTTTCATCCGCATTCAGATATAGTCCGGCTACAGTGAAAATTATATTTTATAAATTTCACTAGTAGTTTATCAGAATACAATTATCTGATATATTACAGTAAACACTGGAAAGCATGAAATAAAAAAAACAATATATAATTTAAACCACTTATTCTAGTATTATATGTATTACAAATGTATAGTTTTGTAAATAGTTTTTGAAGTGTGTATGATATTTACATATACAGTTTCGCTCTTCTTTTTAATAATTCAGTTTTCTCAGAACAAAATTTATGTCCACATAACATTTTTTTTATTTTGGCGATACACGGAAATTATGTATATGAAGATACATTATGATTCTGACAGGTTAAATTGCCCAATATTACAAACTTTAAGTATGTAACCAAAGTCACAAGGTGTTGGTTATATAACGAACAACATTTCATGCACGGCCATATATAACATTTCATAAGTCTTTATAACCAAATTTTGATATTGTTCTCATGCTCTCTTTGCTTCGAAACATTAAATGATAATTTGCAGTGTATATTCTTAGTTATAAAGATTCTGAATTTGTTATGGCTGTTGGCATATATAACCCGAGCTGCTAGGTGAGGATTATATTGCTTACAACTGTTTACATATGGCCATATTACCTGTGAAGAATCTGATAATGAATTTACAATGGAGCAAAATTCCTTCATGACAGAAAAATAAAGAATTTATAAATTGACAGAGAAGTGTATATAATTATTTATAAATGTCATGATTATCGTCATGAAAAGTGAAGTTTCAAGTGTGCAGTATTATTGAATTCAACTGTATATTTGTGTTACCATTGATTTATTTAAGCTAGTGTATGATTTATCTTATTTGTAAATAATCAATTTTTGGAGTGATATCACTTTAAAGCTGCATGCCTCATAGATAAGGACTACTATAGAATATTGTACATTTTGGAGATAAATTTGATAACAATGTTGGCAGGCTCGAGTATTTTAATGACAATACAGAGTGCACTTCTGAACAATAGCATTCGCAATATCAAATTGCACATTTTTTCTAAACTGTCAATATATATTTATAATGGATAGATATAATACGAATCATCTAAGCATGCTTTTCAAACAGCATGCCTCCCGATTCTTTGAAAATTTGGAAGATGTATTGAAAAGTAAAATATTGTGAAGTGAACAAAGAAAGTAATTGACACATTGCAAACGATGCTTACAATTTTATATAATTCACATAAATTACCAAAAAGAAGTCAAAATATGTTGTTTAGATACCCCTTTCTATTTTAGTATAGCGATGTTTTCATTATTTAAATTAGTCATTAATCTTACAAAACATGTAAACAAAAACCAATCAAAAACATGTAAATTACATAATTATTAATTGAGTCATAAATCTTTTTACTTTTCTTAAAGTGTGTGTACATTTTTCTCAAGTTTGATTTTATTTAACTATTTTAGCTCATCTTGAGGCATGCAGCTTTAGAGCTGAATGGATTTTTTATTGGAATTTGTGTATATAGATATGCTTACTGTATAAATTTATTTTGGAATTTGTGTATATAGATATGCTTATTGTAAAAATTTCTCTACATATCTTTATAGAATGTAAAATAATATGAGGAAATTTTTGGGTTTAAGTGAAATATTTAATATATTTTCAAGAAACATGATAAGGGGTTTGAATTCAATACACAATTTATCACAGCCATAACTGTCTTGAAAAGACAAAAACGTTAAGAAATAATTTGTGATGATGAAATGAATAGCTGAAGATAGTCTTTGCAAAAAAGAAACATCTTAGAAAGTAGTAACTTTCATATTTATTTTTTATATTTTTTTTTCACAAATATGATATATATTTGGCTGATATAGCACCATATTTCATGGATAAAATTAAATAAATTCTTTTATTTTTCCTAATACTGGAAATTATTAAAGCGACACGCCTCCAGTTTATATAAATTAACCCCTTAAAAATGGCCCCCATTCTTATCTGGAGTGTGATACATATTTACTTAATGTTTTTGAAATACAGATTGTATATGATAATTTTTTGAAACTTTATTGGTTGATACAATCCATTGAGAATTTGAGCGCAGTGCACAAAAATGATATTTCTTCCCATCATAATTTTTAATTATTTCCATTTTTGTTTTGAAAGTGTCCGTAATTTTCATTTAAAGTTTGTCTTCTCTTCATAGTGTAACACAAAATGTATTTGAGATGTGGACTGGAAACTTCAGAAGTATTTTGGTTCTATATGAATTTAGATGTCCTGTAAATTTCAATGATGATATTTGTTTTGAAAATGTCCTTTGTTGTCATTTATAGTTTGTGTTTTCTTAGAACACAAACTGTTTTTGACGTATAGACATGAAACTAAAATCAATGATGATTTCTGTTTTGAAAGTGTCCTTTCTTTCATTTATAGTTTATTTTATAACATAATTATGTTATATAATCATGTATATTTGCATGCCATACTACCAGTCTTACAGTTTCGTTTCGGTAAGACTGATTAAATATGGGATTATTGGTATAATAGGAATTTATATGATATAATCTATGTCTCTTGCCTCAATAGTGAGGTAAGATAAACTTATTTAGTTTAATAATTGAGCCGTGTCATGACAAAACCAACATAATGGGTTTGCGACCAGCATGGATCCAGACCAGCCTGCGCATCCGCGCAGTCTGATCAGGATCCATGCTGTTCGCTATCAGTTTCTCTACTTGTAATAGAGTCGGTAAGCGAACAGCATGGATCCTGATCAGACTGCGCGGATGCGCAGGCTGGTCTTGATTCATGCTGGTCGCAAACCCATTATGTTGGTTTTGTCATGACACGGCTCAATTTATGTAATGTAGTGAAAATTTATTATGTAAACTTATTTAGTTTAATAATTTATGTAATGTAGTGAAAATTTATTATGTTTGTTGTCAACCTACTTCATAGATTAATATGGTAAATTATATCATTTTTTGGGTAGCTAAACATTTCCAGAACAGAACATTTAATTCATGCAATCATTTTAACTAATAAGAAGTATGTGAGAGTAAGACAAACATAAATTAATATTTGCATTATTCTACGTTTTTACGAATAAGTTGTTATTATGAACTTCTCCAGTAAAGTCATAATGATATTGTGATAATGTTTTGTATGTTAACATATGCACTGTTCGTTATCTTGTAAATATGCTGTATTATGTCATCATGGGCTTATAAGCCATATTTGATTGAAATAAATTGTTTGTCTGTCTTTCTTTGTATAATACAAAATGAATTTGAGATACATAAATTTTTAAAAAGGAGAAGTTTAGTGGGCAAGAATGAAAATTTATCAATTGCATTTATTTTTAATTCACTTTGAAATTTGTCATGCTTAACCATTTTGTTATAATTTTCATGTTTTTAGCTCACCTGAGCATATGCTCAGGGTGAGCTATTAGGATCACTCTTCTTCCGTCGTCTGTCGTCAGTTGTCCGTTCACACTTTTAAAACGACATCTCCTCTGAAACCATAAGGCAGATCATAATGAAACTTCACAGGGATGTTCCTTGTGTGAAGCTTTAACAAAGTTGTTCAAAGAATTCCATTCCATGCAGAACTCTGGTTACCGTGGCAACCGAAAGAAAAAACTTAAAATATCTTCTTTTAGAAAACCACAAGAGCTAAAGCTAAAATATTTGGCATGAAACATCACCTAGTCAGTGTCTACCAAGTATGTTCAAATAAATGCCCTGGGGTCAAAATTGGCCCTGCCCCGGGGGTCATTGATTTTCCTGATTTGTATATAGTAAAAACTTAAAAAATCTTCTTTTAAAAACCCCAAATTATGAAATAGCTAGAGCTTAAATATTAAGCATGAAACATCTTCTAGTGGGTGTCTACCAAGTTTGTTCAAATAAATGCCCTGGGGTCAAATTGGCCCTGTCCCAGGGGGCATTGAATTTCCTTATTTGTATAATATAGCAAAAACTTAAAATATCTTCTTTTAGAAAACCGCAAGAGCTAAAGCTTAAATATTTGGCATGAAACATCTTCTAGTTGGTGTCTACCAAGTTTGTTCAAATAAATGCCCTGGGGTCAAAATTGGCCCTGCCCCGGGGGTCATTGATTTTCCTTATTTGTATATAGTAAAAACTTAAAATATCTTCTTTTAGAAAACTGCAAGAGCTAGAGCTTAAATATTTGGCATGAAACATCACCTAGTCAGTGTCTACCAAATCAATGCCTTTGGGTCAAAATTGGCCCCTCCCGGGTGGTCATTGTTTTTTCCTATATGATATAGCGAAAACTTAAAAATGTCTTCTTATAAAAACACTAAAGAGTTAAAGCTTAGATATTTATCATGAAACATCTTCTAATGGCTGTCTACCAAGTTTGTTCAAATACAAGTCCCTGGTTTAAAATTGGCATTGGCCCAGGGGTCAATATACAGGTGAGCGATTTCAGGGCCATCATGGCCCTCTTGTATTGTTGTACTGTTTCTCTTTTGCATTATTTTCATCCAGACCTTAATTCATCAAAGCTTAAAAGTTAAAGTTACTAATTTGAAACGATTGAATGATTATGCAGTTGACAAGAATGTCAACTCTCCATTTTATAATATGAATACTTTATTTTTTTTCTTAACACAATAACTCAAAACATTAAAATATAACGGCTTGAAATTTTATGGATGAATATCTCTCATACTAGTAAAATAGCAAAAAACGGAATCCCTAAAGAACGCCCAAAAAATCAAAAATTGATAAAAATATGTTATAGACTCAGAGCTTTTAAGATTAAAACCCTTTCAATATATTGGAATGTTAATGCACCAGTTTTTCTAAATTTGATTCCGAGTGGAGCTGCTATCACTGCCTTTTGTTTATTTTTATCCTGCTACTGTCTTATGATATTATCAGCTGGAAAAAGCCTTGCCGGATAACCATATCTATTTCCAGTCAGTATGTCACATGGTTAGGCAATGCGTATGAATACCAAATATTTCACGGACTACTTTCTTTCATACTTCTCCATGCTCTGATTTTGTCAAATAAAAGATAATTATGGCTTATTTTAGTTTTTATTATGGCTTGTTTTAGTTATGTTTCCTGTCATAATGAACAATAAACATTATTACATGTACATGTGTTGTTTTATTTAATATTTTACCCCTTTCAAGCCTGATAGCTTTACTTTTATATCTTCAAGAATGAATTTTGCGTGCTGGGTATTAGTTCGCAACTATTTTGCAATGCACACTGGGATACTATCATTGTCTGCAACAGTAAAATGTCAGATTACCTCAGTCAAACAACTTTTGACATTATATAGAATGATTTATTTCCTGCAAATGATACTGATGACTGTAATCAAACAGAAAATGTTGTTGAAATATTTAGAGAAGATTTTTTTCAAAGGTATGGGGAAGATATATCTGCCTTTGATGATGATTTTGTTGAATCGTATGATGAAAAAAACTCCATTGAATGTAGAGTTTGATACAGTAGAGTTACCTGTCCCCAAGAGTGACACTACAGTGACAAACAATGATCTCCCCTCTTTAGCAGAGAAACCAATGAGTTTATCAGTCTCTCTGACAGTGATGTATTGCAATTAATCAAAGATTCCAAAAATAAGCAAACTATTAAGAAAAAAAATCTTTATGTTAATAAATTCACCAGATTTCTAAAGGGCAAAAATGAAACAAGAGATTTACATAACATACCACCTAAGGAAATGGATACAAATTTGGCAAATTTCATTTTGTCAGTGAGAAAAAATGACGGCCAAGAATATGAGCCAACAACTGTTCCAAACATTATTTCAAGCATTGACCGAAAACTGAAGGAAATGAAATACCCGGTGAAAATAATGCAAGAATCTGGAACAAAATTCTTTAACATGACCAGAAATGCTCTTAAAGCTAAACAAGTCACTTAAGAAAATGGGAAAGGGCAACAAACCTAATGCATGCAGCCCAATCAGTGATAATGACATCAATATTTTGTATGAAAAACATGTGTTAGGCAGCAGAACACCACAAAGTTTATTAAACACAGTGTGGTATAATAACTGTGTTCATCTTGGGATTAGAGGAACTACAGAGTGTAGAACACTACAGTTAGTCATGCTACTTTTCCCCTTTAGACTTTTTCTTCATTTGACTTGGTATTTCTATAAGACTTATTCTAACACAACCCGCATTTTTCCCTATTGAACATAGAAGAACCGAGAGTGTGTGTTATTACGCAACAGGTGCACAGTTTGACGTTCTATATTTAGACATGTGACGTAATCATTATACACATGACGCAACCACCAAAAATCCGACGCGCTGAAAATAAGTTCAGAAACAAATCAAACGCAATTTTGCTTAATAACAGGTACGGCAGCACTTATTTGTTGATGTCGTGTTAGAATCGAAATAATATATCCAAATCGGTGATTTTATCGCTTGATAACATCACTGTTTGTCGTTCGGATGCGCATCATTATATCACTCGGGCTACGCCCTCGTGATATAATTCCTCGCATCTGAACTCCAAACAGTGATGTTATTGAGCGATAAAAACACTGTTTGGGATAAATTATTTCTTAAATATATTATTCTTGCATAATATACTTAAAAAATTAAAGCATTAGGTCTATTCATGACCAGGAAAGTACGTCCCTGCTGAGATTTGAACTCAGAACTCTTTCCTTAAGTCGGAAAGTGTTTTTCATTAAACTACAAGAACATATTACTTTACTGGCTTACTTCACCTTTAAACATTGACATTAAAATAATGAGTTCAACAAATCTAATATTATGCAAGATTCTGGCTAGTGTAATATTTTATTTAACAAATTCAATAAATATAGTAATGAAACTACTGTACTGTACACAAATACAATTTAGAAATATAAATATCCCAAACAGTGATTTTATCGCTAAATAAAATCATTATTAGGAGTTCAGGTTCCAGGAATTATAATAATCATAATGATATGCATCCGAACAACAAAAAGTGATGTTATCACCAAATTGGATATATTGATTTGGTTATATCATTTCGATTCTAACACAATATCAACAAATAAAATTGTCATACCTGATATTAAGCTAAATTGCGCCTGATTTGTTTCAATTCTAATTTTCATTGTGTCAAATATTTAGTGGTTACATCACATGTCTAATGGTTCTGTCACATGTCTAAATATACATGTAATATGTCAAAAGTTATTTTATTGCATAATAACACACATAATAACACACACATTTTGGACATTTCAGTTATTCTATGTTCAGTAGTCTAATGTGGGTTGTCTTAGAATATGTTCGGGTTGTCTTAGAATATTCTATTTGTCACATATCCAAATGAAATGTGCTTACAGTAAAAATGAATCATCTTTTCATTGACCCAATGCCACAAAAGCAGCACATGGTCATGTTTAGAATGGACATTAATTTAAAATTTTATCATGCAAATAAAAAGCTTTTAAGCACTGGTAAATACAACAAGAGTAAATATTTTGCAATACTAAGTAAATAGTTTGCAATACTAAAGTAAATATTTTGCAATACAACAGTAAATATTTTGCAATACTAAAGTAAATAGTTTGCAATACTAAAGTAAATAGTTTGCAATACAACAGTATAACTATGTATTAAAATAATTCCAATGAGACTGCAATTTAATAGAATTACAATTGTAGCAGAAATTTGAATACAGAAAATAAGGAACCAGGGGCCGTATTCATAAAGCTCCTAAGGGAGCACAATATTTACCTGATGAACTAGTCCATCCATTTCTCTGTACTGTGACCAGAGGGCACGAAAAATGTTTCGGCTCATTTTTCCGAAAACTCTTTTACATACAAACTATTTGAATGTTTCAAAAACTTGTTAAGCTTATGAATAGAAAATGGAATCAAGTTCCCGCATGGTTTGGTGAGATCGTAGTATTGAGCAGTTGACATAACAAAGTGGCTCCGCATCAGAATAATGCTATCTTCATCGTGATGGACACAAAGACGGCGGGTAAGATTATCTGTGACAGTAAAGCTTTCCAGTTCCATAATGTATAGAAGAAACTTTTTAGCAGGACAGCTTTAAAATGGTTTAACCATTTACATTGTCCTTCATCCATCTGTACGTCCCAGGATTGGAAGATCATACAATCCCCTGTATCATCTAGAAAAATAAAGAAAAGAGCGTTTTAATAACTTTTTGATAAGTTGCAGAAATCTCTTACAATATTTCAAATTCAAACAAGAGATAACATACTCCACTTTATCACATAAACCGCGGCGCAGGAGTGTAATAAAGCCATTTAATAAAAACTGTATTACACTAGTGTAATAACACTTTAACATGACGTCATTTGCGCTATAGAGAAACATAGCGTTAAAGCGCGCTAATGTTAGCGTTACACTATGGGCGCGTCATTGAAAAATTACTCATTTTAACATTTTACTGTTCTTATTTTATATATGTGATAAATAGAATATTATATTCGTGTAGATTCAATACTAAATTTATTGAACTCGTTGAATAAAACAATATTATGCTCGCCAGAGGCTCGCATAATATGATTTTATTCAATTTGTTCAATAAATTTAGTATTAAACTACACTCATTCAATATCCTCTATATCTTTTAAGTGCTTGTTAGTAAAAAAGAGCCTAGATAATATTAGAATTTGAAAAAAGAGGATGATATCATATAAAATTATATATGACATTATTAAGTTACAAGTCTTGGATACTGACCAAAGATTTTTGAAAGTTTTTTAAGATATATTCTTCATAATTATTAACAAGAAGTTGCACATAAATCTTTAATGAAAATGTTACATCATTTTATGCAAGCCCCAATGCCAGAGTAAGAACAGAAGCCTCACTATTCTTCCAATAATAAGGCAAAATATAAAAATGCAATCCAAAATATTCCAATCCCAGGAAGAAATTCAACTTTGGACAATGAACTTGCAATAAATAAATAAATAAAAGTCCTTAACCCTTTCACTGCCATAGGGACGGCACATGCCGTCCCTATTATTTTCAGCGTATTTGCCATATGGACGGCTTTTGCCGTTTCTATAATAATGATAATATATTATAATAATAATATTTATATAATAATAATAACAATAACTAGAACTATCACTGAATGCGATTCATACCCATACCAATGTCCTTGACAGAAGAAGACTTGGAAAGGTGGTTAAGGGAATAACTTTAGTGGCACAAATACAATGTACATAAAAAGAAATTATCTCTGGTGAAAAAAAGACAAAGTGTACAGGAAAATTTTTTTTTTTTTTTTGTTTGGGGTTTTATGTCACATCAACACAGTATAGGTCATATCGCGATGTTCCAGCTTTACTGGTGGAGGAAGACCTCAGGTGCCCTTCCGTGCATTATTTCAGGCACGAATGGGCACCTGAGTAGAACCACCGACATTCCGTAAGCTAGCTGGATAGCTTCCTCACATGAGAGAATCCAAAGTCCCGGTCGGGATTCGAACCCACAGCGGTGAGGGGCAAGTGGTTTGAAGTCAACGACCTTAACCACTCGGCCACGGACGCCCGGATAATAGTATAAATATATATTGTCAAATGATGTTCGAATAAGTTACAAATAACCTTTCATTTTTCCAATGAACTAAACATTTTCTATTTCAATTTTTGACCTTCAAGTGTGGCCTTGACCTTAAGCTGGCACAAGAGTAAGATGTGTTCCGCACATAACCCAGTTGGGGTGAACATTTGAGTAAAGTTTGAAGAAAATTCTTCCATTAGTATAAAATTTATAGAGCAGACACGACATATTGTCTAATATTTGATTGTATGTAAATTTGAAGACTTAAAAAGGGGCATTACTTTGTTAAAATGCAATACAGAGTTATGAAACTTGACCTGCATATCTTCATTGTGACACTTCATATATATTTTAAGATTCAAGCAAATACCTTTTCTAGTTTCAGAAATATTCAAAACATGTTAAAATTCAAGAATATTTTATAAGTCAATTTTTGACCTTCAAGTGTGACCTTGACCTTAAGCCAGCAAAAGGGTGACATGGGTTCTGCACATCCCCTTGTTGAGGTGAACATTTGAGCCACGTTTGAAGAAAATCTTTTAATTAGTGTAGGACTTACA